TTTTTTAGGGGCGGCCAAGGATTTGGGTCAATTTGGACGACTTCCACTTTCAGCCTCTATAGGTCAGGGAGCCAGGCAAGAGAGCAATGTGATTGGTCCATGTGGAAGGGTCAGGAGTACAATGGAGGATGTCAGCAGCACACAACAAGGGAGAATGGAAATGCTGTACAGGGAGCGGACAGTATTCCTGGTAGGGAGGACGTGTACTTAGATACTCGCTCAGGGCCCAGGAGAAGAGCAAAGTCATGAACGCACAGGGCTCAGGTCAGGCAGGTCTACAGGGAAATGGGTTTTTGGTGTTCCACAGACACCACTTCACTTCTGATGTGAGGTACTACCCGGGAGAATGTCAGATTTAGGAGGGAGCAGCTGTACCTCAGCAATCCCGGGTTAGATTTAAACAGAGCCTGGGACCAGGAGCAAGAACGAGGTGCTGGGACAAGCTCCACTTTTGTTGCTGGTTCCAACAGGGAAGCTATATCCCAGCTTGTGTTTGCAACAAGTGGACAGCCCTGTCATTGAATTGTGTGGAGGGTGGGGGGAAGGAGGGAGGGAGGGAGGGGGGGTTGTTATACGGGGCAGCGTGTTGCTGACAATTTCCAGTAATCTGTACCAGCGAGTCTCGAGAGTCACAATCCAGCTTGATTCTCTTTTCCCAGCACTCAGGGTTAACAGGGATAAATATAAAGTCTGGCCAACTGTGTCATGCCTGCTGTTGGACCCAGGGTTCAGGAGGCTACAGCTGGCCTGGTTTTAAATGGAGCATCAGGACATTGCTGCCTTTGTTGTTTTTGTGGTTCCAGCTGCCTGTAACTTCACACAGATCTGCTCTCCAGGAATAAAGCAGCAAGCCGCTGCCTTGGATCAGTCTGTGACACACTGAACACACCATTCCCCAGCGTATTAAACACTCCAGTCAGCAAACAAAGACACTCGGGCTCATTTCTAAGTACAAATATTATCTTCCCACATTCGGCAAGTTAAGAAAACCTTCTCTGAGGAATGGAGATATTTAAGGCAGTATCAGGTAGTCTGGACTTGTAGCATGTCAGTAAATACACAGGTCCTCCCATAACATGACACACAAGGCAGGCACTGGTGTACTGGTAATGTCATTGCATTCGCTAACCAGTCAAAAGGACTCCATGTTAACCATTTCTCTCTCTCCACAGATGCTGCCTAACCTGCTGAGTTTCTCCAGCAATTTCTGTTTGTGTTTGTTTCAGATCTTCAGCACTCATAGCTCTTTGTTTTCTATTATTAACCCAGGCTAATGTTCAGGAGATTTCGGTTCGAATCCCATCACGGTAAATGTTGAAACTTGAATTCAATAAAAATCTGGAGGTAAAAGCTAATTGCAACCTCTGTCAATTGTTATACATGTCCAACTGATTCACTTAGGGAAGGAAATCTACCATCCTTACTTAGTCTGACCTATATGTGACTCCAGACCCACAGCAATGCGGTTGACTCTTAACTGCCCTCTGGGTAATTAAGGATGGACAATAAATGCTGGACTAGCCAGTGACAATTTTCTCCCCCCCCAGTGACACCCACATTCTGTGAACAAAGTAAAAAAAAACTCATTTCGGAGTCTGAAGGTTCTTAAATCCCATTGGAGGGCCTGCTGCACTGTTGGAGCTGCTCTCTTTTAGAGATGGCTTTAAAACAAAGCCACTTCTATCCTTTTTAAACAGACAAAGAAGATCCTCCCACAATATTTCAAAGGCTTGGGAGCCTCTCCACGGTCTACTCCTACCCCCCACCCCCCCAACCACCCAATATTTCTCAATCAACATCTTTTCAACGTGGATGAGGCATTACATGTTGGAAGCAAATGTAAAGAGCTCACATATAAAACTTGGGTAAGACTCTAAACGGCATGAAGGGATAAAGAAATCAGGAGGTAGAAATACACAAAAAACACAAAGTTGCTACCTCAGTTGACGAGGCCATAACAAAAATAAAGTATGAGTTGATACTCGAGAGATTATTTCATAACGAATAGGCAAGGAAGCAAAAGTAAGCAAAATATTATTATGTTTTGCATCGAAACATGGCTGGACCTCAGTGCAGGTACATAGTTCTTTGAAGTTTGCGTCACAGGTAGACAGGGTGGTTAAGAAGGTGGTTAGCACGCTTGCCTTCATTGCTCAGATCTTTGAATACAGGAGCTGAGACGCCATGTTGAAATTGTGTAGGACATTGATGAGTGAGGCTTGTTCTGGAATACTGTGTACAGTTCTGGTCACTCCGTTATAGGGAGGATATCATTAAATTGGAGGGGGCTCAGGAAAGATTTACCAGGATGTTGCTGGGAATGGAGGGTGTGAGTTATGAGGAGATGTTGGGTAGGCTGGGACTTTTTTTCCACTGGAGTCTAGGAGGTTAAGAGTGACCTTGAGGTTTATTAAATCACAAGAGGTATAGATAAGGTGAATGACAAGGGTCTTTGCCCTACGGGACATATTTTTAAGTGAGAAGAAAGGACATGAGGGGCAACTTTTTATTTTAAAATGGAAAGTGGTTCATGTGTTGATTGAACTGCCAGAGGAAGTGGTAGATGCAGGTATAGGTACACAACGTTTAAGACATTTGGATAAGTTCATGATTAGGAAAAGTTTGGAGGGATATGGTCACGTGTAGGCAGGTGGGAATAATTTAGTTTGGGAACATGGTTGGCACGGACTGGTTGGACCGAAGGGTCTGTTTCCATTTTCCATGACTCTGGTGTACAGCAAAGATGCAAACTTTTTAAAAAGCATATAATGGTGCTGGAGAGGACGCAGAGATGATTTACAAGGACAGTACTGGAAACGTGTGGCTTTACGCATCAAGAAAACATTGCCAGGCTGTGTTAGTTCTCCCCTGGAAAAAGGCAGCTGAGGGGGGACTAAATTGACATCTGTCTCAAAATCCTTCATCACGCAAGAGTGCAGAGAGAATCTTTCCTCCAGGGACTAGAGGCTGTTAACATGAGTTCATCACCAAGAAATTCAGCCAGGAGTTCAAGAAAACAGTCTTCACCCAGAGAGGGGGGAGAAATTTGAACCCAATCCTACAGAGAGACGTCAAAGTGAAGAGTATTGATGCATTTAAGGGGAAGCAAGACAAGCAAATGATAGAGGAGGGAACTGAAGGTTACATGGAGGACGACGAGGTGTGTAATAGAAATGACAGCAGAAATTGGTTGGGCCAAAAAAGGCCGATTTCCTTGTTAACCAGTAAAACGGATTTACCTGGACATGATCACTTTGTTGTCTGTGTGGGAGCTTGCTGTGTACAAATTGGCTGCTATGTTTCCTGCATTACAACACCAACTTCAAATCAAAATTACTTAATTGGCTGCAAAGTATTTTGGGAAGTCTCCAGGTCAAGATGGGAGCCAACAAATTACAAATCTGTCTTTATTATTACAATTTATAATGAAACACACATCTTCACTAACTTAGAATGGAGCACGAGGAAGTTTACATCATGGCTCACAGAAATTTTTGATGATTTCATGTGAAATTAGATGGCAATTTCAGACGTATATATCACAACAGTTTGCTGCAACAGATCATGGGGGGCCTATCATCTACATTGCAACAATATTCTCATACAGTAGCCACAAATAATATTACTTGTGAACGTGCAACAATAACAACCGAGTCTGTTGCAAGATGTTGTATCTTTCTATACGATCCTGTGCATCCTCTTGAATTGTGCAGAGGGAAGACTGTTATAATTCATGTACATCAATGGACCATAATTCCTCTTTTCTGCCAAAACTCCCACTGAACTGCAGCTGCTAATCAGCAACATTGGATTTTTAAATCATAGAATCCCTACAGTGTGGAAACTGGCCTTTCGGCCCAACAAGCCCACACCAAACCTCAGAGCATCCCACCCAGATCCGTCCTTTGTAACCCACCTAATCTACACATCCCTGAACACTACAGGCAATTTAGCATGGCCAATCCACCTAATCCTGCACAACTTTTGTGACTGTGGGAGGAAACCAGAGCACCCAGAGGAAACCCACACAGACACAGGGAGAATGGGCAAACTGCACCAGGCAGTTGCCCGAGGGTGGAATCGAACCTGGGTCCCTGGCGCTGTGAGGCAGCAGTCCTAATCACTGTGCCACTGATATCACTGCATATTTCGGGATTTTATTTGAAGGCCACTAAATTGCAGAAGAAACAATTCCCCACAGATTGTTCGCAGCATCAGTACGGCTCCAAGTATTTGCCTTTGCTCATGGGAATGAGAAAGTTAAGATTTGTCTCCCGTCACTCGATTTAGAAACTGTACACCCAGCAACAGTTAACCAACTGTGTACGGTCCTTCCAGTTTTGCTGTCAGTCTGTTAAGATTGTACCAGACTCATATCCATGACACTTATTTTACAGAATCAATATGATGCAGGTGATGGCCATTTGGTATATTAATGTCTGCACTAGCTCTCTGAATATTTGAACTTACTGCCATCTCCAGCCTTTCCCCTGTAGCCCTGCACATTGGTTGTTATTTCAGTGGAAACATGTCTCATTTGAACCTGCCTCCACCACATTCCCAGGCAGTGCATTCCAGTCACTAAGAGGTTTTTCTCATTTTGCTCCTTTGCCAAGCACTTTAAAACCATGTCCTCTGGTTCTCGACCCTTTTATGAATGGGAACAGTTTCTTCCCATCCACTTTGCCAAGACTCATGATTTTGAAAACCAATTGTCAAAGCTCCCCTCAGCCTCTCTCCAAGAGAAACAAACAAACAGTCTCAGTCTCTCTAATCTTTCATTTTGCAAGCTTTCTGTAACGGATTTACATCCTTTCTATAGCATGGTGCCTAGAATGAACAATACTCTAGCTGAGATCTAACTGGTATTTTTTATAGGTTCATCGTAACCTCCCTGACTGTCATCCCAATCATCACTGCAGCAAAGCAGCCTGGGATGTTCAAGTGCACCAAAGGCTACATAAATGCAGACAGTTGTTGTTTGAAGGCAATAACCTCACCTGTGGTAATGAGAGCGTGTGTGGTCACAGGGGTTGCTGTGGGGGTCACACTGACTGCTCTGGTGTCAGTGCTGGAAGAGCTGACTATTTCACTTTTCTTTCCACTTTCGGCCATGTTTTCAGGCTGGCCTCCTTTGGTAGCAGCCATAGGAGCTTGTCCTGAAGTTTTAGGCTGGGAGGTAGTTGAAGCTTGCTGAACAGACGGAGTAGCTTTCAGAGCGACGCTTTGAAGTTGTGGCTGGACTGTTGCTGCTGTATTCTGTTGACTTCTTATTGCTAAATTTTGCACCTGCAAAAAAGGGGGATTCATTTGAAAGTGAGACTGTTTAGGCAGCGCATCTACAGAATTTCACAGAAACCAAAACAACTTTGCAATTAATTCCACTTGGAAAACGAAAGGTTCAATTTTAAAAAACGCAAGAAAATGCTGAGTAAATTCAAAGCTGTTGCCAAACCACGTGCCAAATGATTGCAGTAATAACCACAAGGTTTCTCTAATTCAAGAGATTGAGACTGCACTTCACATGCAGGTCCTATTTTGACAACTGGCTGTGAACCCCACAGTGTGGGATCTGGCAGGAGTTGCTGATTTTTGTTTCGCGACACAGTGCTGAGATTATTGACAGGAACATTATCATCAGCAACTGGACACTGAGATTGGACAGTCTGGGCAGTTCTGAGGAAGGGTCACTTGACCTGAAACGTTAACTCTGATTTTTCTCCGCAGATGCTGCCAAACCTACTGAGCTTTACCAGCAACGCTGGTTTTTGGACACACTGGGGTTGTTTTTATTAGAACAGTAGAGATTGAGGGGGAGAATTGAGAGATTTAAAATTATGAGGGGCATAGACTGGGTAGAGAGGAAGGAAATTTTCCCCTTGATGAGGGTAGGGATGGATGACCAGGAGGCATACATTTAAGGTAAGGAGAAGGTTTAGGAGGAGGAGATGTGAGGGACTCACTGCCTGTAAGGTTGGTAGAGGTAGAAACCCTCATGACATTTAAATATTTAGATGTGCACTTGCAATACCAAGGCTTGGGCCACGTGATGGATAATGGGATTAGAAGAACGAGGTGGTTGTTTTTAAACTGGTGCAGACAGCCGAAGAGCTTTATTCGATGTCGCAGACCTCTACAGCTGACCAGCTGGGAAAGACACAGAGGGTTAGGAAGCACAGGAGGCAACCAACTCGGAAATCTGTGGAGATTTCAGTTCTGTTAAAGAACAGGGCCAACTTCACCATGATATTTCCCAGTGCAGACCTGGAACAGAGTCTCTCTGATCTCAAACACAAGATCCATTTGGGCTGCTGCTCTGAGGGAATAAATTGAGACACTGAGCACACATGCCCTCTGAGCAGTTATAGAAACCCAGTTACATTCAGAGTGTGTCTGGGAGTTCCAGTCAATGCTGTGTAGCCCTTGGTTTGCCATCCCCATGGAGCTGCTCCTTTATGTAGCAGTAAAACCCGCGGGTTAGCAGGCTGCTTCTTTACATTCTCTTTTTCCCCCCCCACAGAGTGGGGGGAAACTGTGCAATTCCCTCCTACAGGCAGGGATCAAACTGGCTCACTTTAAACAGAACCTCTCCCAGCTGCTGGAGAAACCCGAGGGATAAAGGAATAGAAGGATATACTGATAGTGAGGGATCACAGTGCAAGGAGGCTGGAGTGAAGCATTAACACCAGCATGGATCAGATGGGCTGAATGGCGTGTTGCTGTGCTCGAAGAGAATTCCTGTTGCTCTCCAATCACCCTGTTTACCTGCTGGACAAGGCAAGTAACCCCTGTGACCTCCCACAGGGTCAGAGAGGGAGGTCACAGGCCTCTCAGTATTACAGCTGCATTCACCTTCACTCCCAGTGTCTGAAACATTGCAGCAGTGCCCAGGGATTAACCCAGAGTCAGGCAGCGGGGCCCAGCTCTCCATGAAACAAGATGCAGGTCTGGGCTGGTGAGCCAATCGTCATCTTTGTGCCATGGCAATGCAGAAGGAACAATGTCTGGGGAATATGCTGTTGTGTGGGGTCAGGTTTCTTTAAAAGCATGTTACTGTTGCAACTGTACATACAGTACCTTCCAGGAGGCCATTTGGCCCATCATTCCTGTGCCGGTGATTAGGGCCTTTTATTCAAACCCCGTAACTTTTAATTTTCTGTGGCTAAATACTCTTAAGTGTTTAACGAAAAAAAAAACACTTTCAGCTTTATTCTTGATTCTTGTACATGTTAATCCAGAACCTCTGATCCTTTGTTGCTGAATACTGGAAGCAATATTTTCACTATTTATCAAATTGCTCCACCATGGTGGGGGGGGGGGGTGGTTGTGCCTTTGGCTGCTGAGGGAATTCTCTCCGTAAACCTCACCGGTTCTCGACCCATTCTCCCTCTCAGACACTCGACATTTATTTCTTTGTCGGAGCTTTTGGCCAGTATGTGGTTACTTTCACAGCGTCAGAGTTAGGAAAGGGACTGAGAGCAGCTGAGGCCCTCATTCTCGATCGCTCACAAGGCATGGCCACTCCACAATGAACACTTATTGAGGTCAAGTGAAGTCACATTTAAACCATACAGTCAAAGAATTTAATGTGGGGCCCCATCGTGTTGAGTGATCTCTGACAGAGGAGTCCAGGAATCCCAATGGACACATTTAAGCAGCTGAGTCTGATATTGTCCAGACCTTGATCCCATACCTCTGTTCTTCTTCAATCTAGGAGTCACGACACCTTTTCCACCCACTCGAGGGGGCAACAGGGCCTCAGTTTTAATGGCTCATTTGACTGAGCCGAGGGTCAGCTTGGGAAAGCTCCCTCGAGTGTAACTTATTTTCCACAGGGGTGAGAGGACTCCTCACCGAGTCTGGGCCCATAGCCAAATTATAACAGTGACTCGAGGGGACAGGCAAATACAACAGTTACAGTGCTGCCCATATCTCATATCCCCTTCAGGGCAATGGTTATCCAATCTGAGAGAAAGTCAACCTAGTCACATTTCTAACGGGTTAAAGGACAGAGGTTCGGGGCAGACTTTCTGCCAACAACTCTCCTTAAGAACATTTAGCTCACCAATTCCGATTTCAAAAGTACCGAGCGAGAGTTTTGTAAACTGACCTGTGGAGCAGCTGATTGTTGGTTCGCAGGAGAGATGGTGACCTCAGGTTGGACAGCAGCGACTGTGGCAGTGGGTGTGAAAATGAGCTGGGGGGACAAAGGAACAGCACGTCCTAGGGTCCTAGCTACTTGCACAAGGTTACTTTGCTGTGCCTGAAAATTACATGAAATGTGTTGCCTTTTACCTTACCAAAAGGTGCCTTGGGCAGAAAAGAACAGAGTTCGTCAGATGCTAATACACAGTCTTAACTAGAAAACAACAAGCCACGCAGCAAGCTGAACCGGAGGGGAGGTGGATGCTACCTGAAGGGAAGAAACCCTATTTGCTCCCGAAAGCTGATTTCATATTCACAGGGCTGCCTGGTTTTTAAATGGAAACCAAGAAACATTGCTGTGTTTAGTGAGGCACCTTTGCAATATATCCCACTTTGAGTACCAGCTACTGGCCCTCACCCAAGCACTGGCCAACTGCTTAACTGTGGGGTGCATCATTGCTCAGCCTGACCAGGAACATAGTGTCTGTGTGTATCTGGGTGGGTGTGGGGTGTGTGCGAGTAGGTCTGTGTCTGGGGTAGGTATGTGCATGTAAGGTCTGTATCTGGGGGTTTGCGTGTGTGCATGTGTCTGTGTCTTGTTGGGACGGTGGGGGGGTCTGTGTCTGGGTGAGCGCATGTGTCTGTGTCTTGTTGGGACGGGGGCGGGGTGGGTCGGTGTCTGGAAAATGTGCATGCACTACAGCAGATGTCCACATGTGTGGGTACACTCAGGGAAGGTTGGTGTCTGTCTGGAGGGGGTGAAGGGGTGTGAGTAAGCCTCTCACACAATTTAAGCAGTTGCAAAGTGAATTGGAAATAAAAAAGAAGTTATTTTGTTTTCCCAGCTCCAATAATGCACATTTGCTATTGACTATTCATTCCTGCTAGTATGTTTCTCCCCAAAATAAGAGCAGGGAAGATATTGGCATTAACCTTATAAAAAAAGAGGTTTCGTCCACCTCCCTCAGTGCAAACTATAAAAAGCAACACAAACACAAAAATCCATCAGAAGGGTGTGATCAGACAGTTGGCTGGAGTAGACAGAGCAGGATTCCAGCAACAGATTAGAACAGGGACTACTAAAGCATTGAAGGTTGCAGGCTGCCAGGGACTGGCACTGCCAACTGCTCCTTTAAATCCTGCTGATTCTGGCTGGTACCCAAGCCACGTCTGAGGAAGGACAGATGGTACAAAACATGAAGAAATCTAAATAAAACCACCCAGATATTTACAGGCTATTTTAATTTTCACCAATAGGTGCAAGTCTCATTAGTTTTTTTGTACAAGGTTTAGATTTGGAGCTGGAGGTGGTGTTGCCAGATGATTAAATTTACTTATTCTACAGCAGCAGTAACTCTGCTTTCTCCCCTTTAATAACTTCATGGCAATTTTCAAAGCTACTCTGAGGGAGTGGCTCATGTTGTTCTGAAGGGTTCTCTCTCTGGGATGTAGGTTCATACTGTGGCTGCTGTGTCTGACCCAAAGATGAATTTTTGATTATATACCCAAGGCCATCATGGAGACCATCTACTTTCACCTTTGGAATATCCCCTGGCCCTACTCTGGCCTCAGCTCATTTGTTACTAAAAATCCTTATCTACTCCTTTTTTTGTGTTTTTTCCAGACACTCCTCAAAAATTATACATTCAAACTTCAGGCCATCCAAGCCGCTACTCCCCATTCCCCAACTTGCACCCAATTCCTTTATTTGTCCCTGGGATGCAGTTATCCCTGGCAAGGCCAGAATTCGTTGCCCATCCCTAATTGCCCTTGAACTGAGTGGCTTACTCAACCATTTCAAAGGGCAGTTAACAAATCAACCACATTGCTATAGGTCTGGAGTCACATGTAGGCCAGACTGGGTAAAGATAACAGATATCCCTCCCTAAAAAAAAGACATTGGTGAACCAGATGGGTTTTTACAACACACAACAATAGCTGTCATGGTCACCAGAGACAAGCTTTCAATTCCAGATAGATTAATTCAATTTAAAATTTTGCTAGTTGCTATAGTCTGGGTTTCTGGATTACTAATGCAGTGACACTGTTACCCTCCAACTGTATCCTGTCCTTGTCCTCACTGACTTGCACCCAACTAAGGTATAACTCGATTTTAAAATTTCCATCCTTGTTTTCAAATCCTCTATGGCTTCACTCTTACTGCTCTCTGGAACCTCCTCCCTCTACTTCACTATCTCCTGAAAAGGAACTGGCACTCACCGAGATAACCCTCCTGTGCCCTGGGACATTTTATTACATGGAAAAAGTGCTACAATACCATTGTCACTGTAGTTCTTCTACAGTACAAAGCACACAATCTGAGGCAGCAAGTATTTGTGGCTGTTGGAGTAACACTGGAGTGAGCATCTCTCTCCCCCACTCTCCCTCACTCCATCCCCAAACACGCACAACAGGAGAAGAGAGACCCAGGGGACGCTAGAAAACCCAGAATGATCTTTCACTTTCCTTCTCCTGGGGTACAGAGGGGTATTTCACCAATATCAGCTCCCTTGGCTCTCCTTACTGTTTGTGTGTATCTCACTCCGCGTTTGTGTATCTTGCTCACTGTGCGTGTCTGTGTGTGATAGTGTCGCTCTCTGACTTTTTGTGTGACTCTCCCTCTCCCTCGGTCTGTGAGGGAGTGTGTGTTCCTCTCTTTCTCACCCCTCTTCTCTCTCTCTGTCCCCGTGTAGATGAGGGAGGAGTTGGGGATGGATGCTCATGTTGTTCCACTTCTGCCCAGTTTGCGGCAGAGATAAAAACTGAGGCTAGTATTTCTAGTCAAAACTTTCTGATGGAGCATAGGATGCCCCGATTGGCTGCAGCGTACAGCTTATGGAAAGGACAATGCACAAGGTTTCCCAGTCCAGCTCCTTCCGGCTCTGTGGGTGGAAGTACAGATTGGAACAGAAGGGATTACCTCTGGCACTGCCTCAAACAGACATACTGCTTGTATTGGAGGTACCAAAGGATGACTCTCATATTCCAGTTGATCATAGAAGGAGGAGAGAAAACAGAGGAAAGAATTTTTCTAGATCATATTTTCCTTTTGTTAGTAATAGCCCAATTAGCAGCAGGAGCTGGTGTCCTGAGGGGAATCAGCAGTTTCCAAGACCAGACACTCGAACCCAGCCCCAGTGCAATGATGTCACAGGCAGCAGAAAAAAACCAAAGAGCAAGCCATGCAGGTTACTGAACCACCATCAGGAGGATACTCCTCCAACTGCTCAATCCAAACACAGTCACTGCTTTAACACAGACACACTCTCTGACTCTAACAGATTACAGAGTGACCTGCACCGTATCTATATTATCTCAGTATGTGACAGCTTTCTATCAACCAACTCTGAGAAGCTGGAAAGGAGTTTGGAGAGAACTCTATGTCGAGTGGCTGGGTTAGTACATAAGGAGTGGCCTCAGGGCCGGAGCCTCTCTGTAGGGAGTGCATCTTTACAGAGTGAACAACGGCTCACCCGCAATTTCCCAGACGAGCGCTCCTGGTGTGGACTGCACTCCTGTTCCTGCCTATCCAGGGGGTTGGGGAATGTGGAGAGTAAACCCCAGGGTCTGATAATGGACACTCTCCCCTTCTGTCTCTAAGTGATTTTCCAGCTTTGGGTCACCATAGTGATGGCGGGCATTTCCGTGACTGTGACCAAGCAGCTGAATGTGAGGGAGACACCAGCAGCTTCTCCGGGTCTGATGCCTCACTCAGTCAGCGCCATTTCTAACCACTGGCTTTGGGCTCGGTGTGGGCTTCCAGGACCCAGTACATTTACCCAGTGTTTCCTGAACCATACTGACCAGGAAAATCCCAGATTCCGATCCCAGTCCATGCCCTCAGCTGCCCGAGTGACCAGGCTGCCTCTCCAACAAACCCCCATGCTCCTACCTTAGGGAGGGGGGATTAAACCAGCCTCCACCCTAGGTCAGGTGAGTGAGGAGCCCAGCTGGAAATAGGTGTGTGGGTGGATGATAGAGTGGGGCAATCTCACATCCCAAAACCAGGACAAGGCTCACAACCAAAATGTCAACTTCACATGGAACTGTACCCAATGCACAAACCAACATCCTCAGGATCAGAGTGAGGGAGGGTCAGAGTTTTAGCAAGTAGACACTGAACTGGGCACTTGCTTATCACTGGTTTTGGACAGTCATTGTGCATTAGTTTGGAATGGGATGGTGCTCCCGAGAGCACCTTGTTATAATTGGCTACTGCCTACTATATATAAATTTCCCTGACAGTTTTGTTAACTGGACTAAGTAAATGAGCAAATTACCATATTAACTAACAAATGTGCTTTCAAAATATTACCGAATATTACAGTTGGAAAAGGCAGGAATTGTTTTGGGGACAGATTACTCAGATGATCCCAAATGAAGTTGTAGCTTAAATTAGGTTTTGTAACTATTCACAGACTCACTTCCCCGCTCACCCTTTAAAATGTCCCGTCAGAATTAATATTGAGAACGCACGACTGGAAACAGAAATGCTCAAACGGGAATATAATTGGGAAGAATATTAATTGACTTCCTACAGAAACGACTGTAAAAGGATCAAAGGTTATAGATAACGTTTGAATTATATGTTGCCAAGTTAATCTTCAAAGAGAATGGTCTGGGGTCAGTGAGCTAGTGATTAATCACCACTTATCCTGCAAACACATGGGCCACGCATAAAGACGATGTATGTTTGACATTATATTATAAATACAACACTTCTTAAAGTACGCACCAGGTTGCTGCTTACCATCTGAGCCCGAAGGTACATTTGTGCCTGGCTGGCAGTTAATGTGGGACTGTTAGAGTTCCCCAGTAAGACAGCCTGCTGAGCAATCCCGGTGGCAGCTGCAGAGTTAACACTTTGAGCACGGCTGATCAACTGAGCAGCAGCAGGGGATGTCGCGAGGTTAATCTAAATCAAAGAAACACAAAGCCTTTCCATTAACATTTTAATGGGAAACAGAACTCAAAATCGCAGGGCTTTAGGAACGCCACTTCCAATGCAAATTCAAACTTCCATTCTTGGAGACAATAAGGACTGCAGATGCTGGAAACCAGGGCCTATACGGGGGAGGCTGGAAAAGCACAGCAGGTCAGGCAGCATCTGAGGAGCAGGGAAGTCAAGGTTTTGGGCCAGTCGTGATAAAGGGTTTCAGCCCAAAACAGCAACTTACTTGCTTTTCGAATGCTGTCTGACCTGCTGTGATTTTCCAGCCTCAAACCTACAGACTCAAAACTTCCATTCACCCTTTCTCAGCTCCTGTCTCAAACTCTTGTTTGCAAACAGTTTGCATTTCCCAGAATGAGTTCTCCCATCAGTAACTTCATCGGAAAGTCAGGAGGAATGCTGTAGAAGGCTCTTTCGGTGATTTGTCTAGAATTTCTACTAAGCAGCTGGGTCAGAGGATCAGGTCAGTTAGATGCTGTGTGCTATGAACCAACATTGTCCTTTAAGTGTGAAACTGAAGGCATGAACAGAACAGAGAAGGAGCAGGCCATTCAGCCCTTAGAGCAGGCTCTGTTATTCAATGAGGCAATGGCTAATCCTCTTCTTTACCACCATTTCCCTGCACGATCCCCCATGTCCCTTGATGTTTTTCATTTGGGGAAATCTATCAATTCCTGTCCTGATTATGCCTAGTGACTGAGCCTCCTCAGCGTCTGGGGTAGACAATTCCAGAGATTCACTCCAAGGAGTGAAGGAATCCTCATTTCAGTCCTTAATGGCCTGACCCCTCATTGAAAGGCTGTGGCCAATGGTCACAGATCACCATCTGCACCCGCACCGCCCAGGGGAGCACTCTTCCTGCATCCACCTTGTACCAATGTGGTGTGTTTGACTGGGGTCACCGCTCATTCTTCTAAACTCTACAGAATATCAACCCACTCTATTTAATCCTTCCATTCCCAGAAATTACTTTGGTGAACCTTCAGCTGCACTCCCTCTATAGCCAGTGTAGTTTTCCATACATAGAGACCAAAACGACAATATTCCTGGCACAGTCACACCAAGGCACTACATAATTGCAGCAAGACAGCATTGCTCCTATTCACAAATCCTCTTGCAATAAAGGCTAAAATATAGCTTGCTGCCTAAATTGTCTGCTGTACGGTACATTGTCAGTGGCTCGAATAAGAACACCCAAGACCCCTGAGAAATTCAACATCTCCCAGCTTCTCACCCTTTAGGAAATGCTCTGTAATTCTGTTTTCCCACCAAAGTGTCTAACCTCTCATTTCTCCGCACTGCATTGTATTTCATCTGCCACGTTTACACCCACTCACTTAGCCTCTACAAATCCCCTTGAAACATCTTTGCATCCTCCTCACAACTCCCACTTCCACCTAGTTTTGCATCATCCGCAACCTGAAACTTAATCCCCAAGTTAAAATCATTGAAATAACTCCAGATTTTGGACTGAAGTTGAATGGTAGGAGAGTTGGAGAATTCTGCAAAGTCAAAGTCAAAGTCATTTGCAAGAAAAAAAAAACACCTCAAGTCAGGAGCCATTAACTGACCGTTACCTTTTTAGGAGAGCTCATGGAAATATTTCATGAAAGAAGTTTGGTGACAAGGAGGCCAAGTCAGGAATATTCACTGACCTTATCTCCTGAGAGGTTAGGCTCCAATTCTATTGTATGGAATAGGCTTCTCCAGGTCTTTACAACAAGCACTGCCCCTGAATGTGCGGAGATAGGGGGCTGGCCAGTGTTTGATGGACAGAGGGAGAATGTGAAATAGGATGTCACCTGTTCTGCAAAGCTCAGGCATCAAACAAGTTGAGGGATGTTTGTGAAAAGATGTAACTATTGCATAACAAGGACAACTTGTGTTTATATTGCACCCTGAATGTAATCAAGTTTTCCAGGGCTCTTCACAGTAGCTTTATACAAATAAAACTTGGCATCTGGCCACACAAGGATATGTGAGGTCAGATAATTAAAAACTTGGCCAAAAGAGAAAGGTTTCTTGGAGTGTTTCAAAGGAGGGAAGTCAGGTGGTGAGCTGGAACAGTGTAGAGAGGAGCAACTGAGGACACAGCCTCCAATGATGGAGCAATTAGAATCAGGGATTGACAGAGGCAAGATTGGCAGAGTGCGAACATTGGAGGTCATAGAGCTGGAGGAGCGAGGAGTTTAATTTAGATAAATGTGAGGTGTTACATTTTGGTAAGGCAAATCAGGGTAGGACTTATACACTCGATGGTAGGGTCCTGGGGAGCGTTGCCGAACAAAAACCTTCGGGCGCAGGTTCATAGTTCCTGGAAAGCAGAGTTGACGGTAGACAGGGCGGTGAAGAAGGCATTTGGTATGCTTGCCTTTAAATCGGTCAGTGCATTGAGTTGGGAGTTCATGTTGTGGCAGTACAGGACATTGGTGAGAGAGACAGCAAGAACTGCAGATGCTGGAGTCAGAGATAACACAGTGTGGAGCTGGAGGAACACAGCAGGCCAGGCAGCATCAGAGGAGCAGGAAAGCTGACGTTTTGGGTTGGGACCCTTCTTCAGAAATTTTCAGACCTGAAACGTCAGCTTTCCTATTCCTCTGGCACTACCTGGCCTGCTGTGTTCCTCCAGGACACTGGGGAGGCCACTTTTGGAATACTGCATGCAATTCTGGTCTCCCTGCTATAGGAAAGATGTTGCGAGACTCGAGATGGTTCAGAAAAGATCTACAAGGATGTTGCCGGGATTGGAGGGTTTGAGTTGTAGCGGGAGGCTGAATAGACTGGGGCTATTTTCTCCAGAGCGTCGGAGGCTGAGGGGTGACCTTATAGAGGTCTATAAAATCATGTGGGGTATGGATAGGGTGAATAGCCAAGGTCTTTTCCCCAGGGTAGGGGAGTCCAAAACTAGAGGGCATAGGTTTAATGAGAGGAAAGATTTAAAAAGGGACCTAAGGGCAACTTTTTCAGGCAGAGGGTGGTGCGTGTATGGAATGAGCTGCCAGATGAAGTGGAGGAGGCTGGTACAATTATGACATTTAAAAGGCATCTGGGTGGGTATATGAATAGGAAGGTTTAGAGGGATATTGGCCAAATACTGGCAAATGGGACTAGATTAATTTAGGATTTCTGGTCGACATGGACGAGTTGGACCAGAGCGTCTGTTTCTGTGCTGTATAGTTCTATGATTTTATGACTTTATGACTGATAGTTTGGGCATTAAAACAGATGCTGGTTCTGCAGGAGTCAGCCAGAGGTAGGTGAGCAGAAGGCTGATGGAAAGGGGTAAGACTCAGGGCAAAGGGCAGCAGATTTGAACATTGATGGCAACAGACTGAAACCTTCTCACTAAAACAACTGGACCCTGAACTCCCACATTACAAACGGACATAACCCCGAAGACATCAACTCTATAAAAATTCACAGTCCAGTAACGTTTAATGGTCAGAAACCATTCAAATCTGTAAAAGTGTTCAGAGTTTTTGTTTGCAAAGGTCAGGTGTTAGTGTCAAAATTAATTAACAAAAATTAATAAGCACTGGTAATCACTTTCATCCCTTAAAAAAAGTTTATCTATCTTTTTGTTTACAATTTACATAGATGATTTGGAGTTGGGGACTAAGTGTAGTGTCAAAATTTGCAGATGACACTAAAGTGAGTGGTAGAGCAAAGTGTGCAGAAGACAAAGCCTGCAGAGGGATATAGATAGTCTAAGTGAGTGGGCAAAGGTCTGGCAGATGGAGTACAGTGTTGATAAGTGTGAGGTCATCCATTTTGGTAGGAATAACAGCAAAATGGACTATGTTTTAAATGGTAAAAAATTGCAGCACGCTGCTGTGCAGAGGGACTTGGGTGTCCTTGTGCATGGATCGCTAAAAGTAGGATTGCAGGTGCAGCAGGTAATTAAAACGGCAAATGGAAATTTGTCTGCCATTGCTAGAGGGATGGAGTTTAAAAACAGGGAGGCTATGCTGCAGCTGTATAGGGTCCTGGTGAGGCCACACCTGGAGTACTGTGTGCAGTTTTGGTCTCCTTACTTGAGAAGGGATATACCAGCACTGGAGGGGGTGCAGAGGAGATTCACTCGGTTGATTCCAGAGTTGAGAGGGTTGGATTATGAGGAGAGACTGAGTAGACTGGGCTTATACTCATTGGAATTCAGAAGAATGAGGGGAGCTCTTATAGAAACATATAAGATTATGAAGGGAATAGATAAAGTGGAGGCAGGGAGGTTGTTTCCGCTAGCAGGTGAAACTAGGACTAGAGGGCATCGCCTCAAAATAAAAGGAAGCAGATGTAGGACTGAGGTCAGAAGGAACTTCTTCACCCAAAGGGTTGTGAATCTGTGGAATTCCCTGCTCAGTGAAGCGGTTGAAGCTACCTCGCTGAATGTTTTTAGGGCAAGGCTAGATAAATTTTTGACCAGTAAAGGAATTAAGGGTTATGGTGAGTGGACGGGTAAGTGGAGCTGAGTCTCAAAGATCAGCCATGATCTTATTAAATGGCAGGGCAGGCTTGAGGGGCCAGATGGCCTCCTCCTGCTCCTAGCTCTTATGGTTTTCTGCTTAAGAGCATAAGTACAAGTCCATATCTGTAAGCAGTGGACTGGAGGTATACGCAGCTCTGCTGAGAACACAGGAAGTCTACATTGAAGCCAATGCATATAAAAGTATCCACAGACCCTGTTACAATTGTGAGAGGCCAGCACTGTACATGCAAATGGGTCACATTTTTGTAACGTACAAACAGAAGTGAGTAATGTTGGGTTTAAATAATGTGGTCACCTTCTCAGCCAGTTTCCTGGACCTGACATTGAGGATTACCACCCAGAATTCTCTTTTTCCTCCACTCCATTGAGGTCAGACTCCTACAGACTATTCAGGAGGGTAAAATAGTGACCCAGCCAACCATGGAATGCATGTTCATTGCTTGAAGTCCTCCCTCTGCATTACCCTTTCATCACCTTCAGGAAGAGTGAGGTCTGCTCATTACTGGCACTACCCTGCATTTGGACAATTCCATCTCCTACAGAACCATTGTCACTCATTAGAAAGAATTTCCAGTTGACTTCCTAATTGATGCTGGAAGACACTGCTTTGGATAAGAGAATGTTCACATGGAGTATGTATATTGACAGGCCCCAAGGGGCCTGGTGTCTGTGATGGACACTCCAGACAAGCCCATGAGGTGAGCATAAGGGATAGGCTATTTGGTCCCTCGAGCCTGCTCCACCGCTCAACAGGATCATGGACTAAGTAGTTAACAGGGTCGTTTATCAAGGGCTTGATCCCTCCACATGTTAAGATATTCTCTCAATTGAAAAAGAGATTAATTTAGGATATCTGGTTGGCATGGATGAGTTGGACCAGAGGGTCCGTTTCTATGCTGTACATCTCCAAGACTGAATTCCCATGACATAACTTTTAGAAAAAGCCAATATTTAATGGTTGTGGTTGTTGGATCTTGGGGAAATTTAAGCTACCTGTTGGCACTAACGGAGAGGTTTCAGGCTGCATTGTCTACAATCTGAGCTGCTGCATTGCTCTTTACTTACAGTTGTCTGGGAAGAGACAGGTTGCTGCGAGACATTCCCATTCGGCGACGATCCCTGTCTATTGGCAGCTAAACTAGCCTGAAAAAGAGACAAGAGGTGAAATGGTACAAACAATTACAAGATTTCAGTGTAGGCCATTTGGCCCATCGAGGCTGCTCCCCTATTCAATAAAATCATTGGCTAATTGGATTGTGGCTTTAACAACATGCTCTTGCCCATTCCCCATGACCCTGAACTCCCTTGTCAATCAAAGATTTGTCTAACCCAGCTATATTTAATGACTGAGCCTGCACTGCTCTCGAGTGGAAATGATTTCCAGATTAGTGCAGGTTAGTGTCCTGACGTGCCTTGTTGCTTTTTAAATTCATCAGCAAATAAAACCACTTGCGGTTAAAATCATTTGATTCTTACAGGAAGCTAGTAAATGAGAATAAAAACTGCAGAGGAAGTGACATTTTAAGAACAAAAATACAAATGAAGCATTTCTCAAAGAATTTCTTAAAGAACACAAAACTAACACCTCAAAGGAAGAACTTCCTCCTCATGTCACTCTTAAACAGGAGACCTCTTATTTGGAACCTGCTCCCATGGTTCTAGACTCCTCCATGACAGGAACCATTCTCTGAGCATCTACCCCATGTACGAACCTCACCTGGATTGGTTCCCATTTTAATAAGAGATGGAGCCACCCAACATTGAACCTCATCTCAAACAGCAAGGCGCCTCGCCCCAAAAGGAACACATTCTGTCCCCCGTCTCGTCTCCTTTGTTTGCGGACATACTGATGGAGCTCAAAAATATAACAAGCTACTCTCCACAGAGCTGATAATTGTCTGACATGGCACCATTTCCTGCAGGGTCTAGACTTCAGAGCAGGAGGTTTCATTTATGTGGGATACACTGTCAGCTGCAGCTTAATTTCCAGCTCATTTAGAAACACAAAATGACCAGTCAATGAGTGGAAATGATTTCCAGATTAGTGCAGGTTAGTGTCCTGATGTGCCTTGTTGCTTTTTAAAATCAGCAGCAAATAAAAACACAGGTTAAAATCATTTGATTCTTACAGGAAGCTAGAAAATGAGAATAAAAACGGCAGAGGAAGTGACATTGTAAGAACAAAAATACAAATGAAGCATTTCTTAAAGAATTCTGATAGAAACAGCTCACTGAAGTTGCATGTAGGGCACATACCAATTGCACTATGACTCCAGTGTTTATGGAGCGTGGAGAAAACAAGGTCCCCCTCTGTAAACATTTATTTCATTCACAGGATAAAGATATCACTGGCTGGACCAGCATTTATTGTTGCACCCTCCCCACCCCAAGTGCAGCTAAGAGTCAACCACATTGCCGTGGGCCCGGAGTCACATGTAGGCCAGACCAGGTAAGGCTGGCAGTTTCCTTCCCTAAAGGACATTAGTGAACCAGATGGGTTTTCCCAACAGTCAACAATGGATTCATGGTCATCATTAGACTCTTAATTCCAGATATTTATTGAATTCAAATTCTACCATCTACCAAAGGCAGGATTCAAACCCAAGCCCCCAGAACAAGTCCTGAAGAAGAGTCCAGACTCGAATTGTTGACATTCCTGCTCCTCGGATGCTGTCTGACCTGCTGCGCTTCTCCAGCTCCACATTTTATCGACTCTGACCTCCAGCATCTGCAATCCTTACTATCCCCAGAACACTACCTGGATCTCTGGATTAACAGCCCAGCAATAACAGCACTAGGCCATTGCCTCCCCTAAAACAGTGAGCATTAAAGCACTTGGGCAATAAAAGGGTGAGAGAGGTTGGAAAATGAATATCCAAAAGATATTCTGCATATAGGAGGGATAGGCAAAAAGAAGGAAAAAAGGTGTGAGGTAGCACTGCTAGTGTGGGAGGACATCTAACCATCACCCCTTGAATTTAATGGTGCTCCATCACCAAAACCCCAGTACCAACATCCTGGGGGTTATCATTGACCAGAAACTCAACTGGACTCACCACATTAACACAGTGGCTACAAGAGCAGGTCAGAAGCTAGAAATACTGCAGCAAGTAACTCCCCTCCTGACTCCTCAAAGCCTGTCCACCATCTACAAGGCACAAGTCAGGAGTGTGATGGAATACTCCCCAATTGCCTGGATGAGTGCAGCTCCAACAAGGCTCAGTAAGTTTGACACCATCCAGGACAAAGCAGCCCCCGCTTGACTGGCACCACATCCATAAACATCCACCACCGACGCTCATTAGCAGCAATGCTTACTATCCACAACATGCACTGCAGAAACTCACCAAAAATCCTCAGACAGTACCTGCCTAACCCACGACCAATTCCATCTGGAAGGACAAGGACATCAGACATATGGGAACACCACATCCAAGTTCCCCTCCAAGCCACTCACCACCCTAACTTGGAAATATATCACCGTTCCTTCACTGTCACTGGGTCAAAATCCTGGAATTCCCTCCCTGACAGCATTATGCGTCAATCCAGGTAGACTGCAGCAGTTGAAGAGGGCAGCTTGCCACCACCTTCTCAAGGGCAATTAGGGATGGGCAATAAATGCTGGCCACATCTCACAAATGAATAGAGAAAACAAAATCATTACATAAGTAAGAGAGGGATCTTCGATTGAAGAACCAAGGTACAGAATCAGTTTGAGTGGAGTTAAGAAACAAAAATGGAAAGCAAACTTTTTGGGAAATAGCTTATACAACACCAAACTATAGTATGAATGGTTGGCAGACCGTAAATCAGGAAATTAGAGGTTTCTTTATCATGGTTACAGAAGAGAGGAATAATGGATGACTTCAATTTACATCTAGACTGGGTTAAACAAGTCAGTACTAATGCTTTGGAGGATGAACTCCTGGAGTGTGCACAAGATAGAATGTTATGTTGAGGAGTCACCTAGGCATCAGACTATTTTGGATTTGGTGTTGAGTCACGAGAAGAGGATGATCAATAACCTTATTGTAAAAGGAGCCCTTTTGGAGATACTAATCTTATGACAATTTTACACAAAGCTTGAATGTGATATAGTTCTTTCTGAAAATCACACCTTAAAATTTCAAAGGAAATTAAGAGTACGAGAACAGATTGGATAGGGATAGGTTGGAAAAGTACACAAAAAATTGACAGTAGACAATGGCTAGCGATTAAAGAAACACAACAAGGCCTAGAACAGATATCCATTCCCCTAAACACCCAAAAGAAGTAGTGACTCAACTGTGGTTAAATGAAAGAAGTTAAAGATTGCACTAGATCAAAGGAAGTGACATACAAGGACACCATAAATAGTAATAATCCTGAGAATTCAGAGTATTTTAGGATCGAAAGTGGGGTGTTGGGGGGGGCAAGAAATTGGAAACGAGAACTTGAATACAAACTAGCAAGAGGTGTAAAAAGGGGACTGTAAAATTGCTGATCAATACGTGACAGGAAATAGGATAAATGTGGGCCCATTACAGGTGGGGCACATGGAGAAACTAGACATTTAATTTGAATTTGTCTTCACAGAAGAAGAGATGGAAAATCTTCAAGAATTAAGATAGTTGAGAGCGATGTGAACATAAAACATTCACTCTCTAGAGTCACAGCACCTTCAACTCCTCCCAAGTCATTTCCTTTGCCTTTTAATTCTCATTTCTTCACGTTTTGAAAGAAGAGACCAATGGTAAACCAATCTATTACTCTGTGATCACTCTATAAATGAAATATCATATAGAAATAGCATGGACTGCTTTTATGCACATGGCCAGTACTCATGGGAGGGATATGCAGTGATTAAAATAAATTGTTATTCAGCTATAATTGTGAAAATGGGAGTTTATAGCAGAAGGTCTATTTAAATGTTTGCATTAGGCGGTTCTGATCAAGATGCCTCTTTTATTAGAGGAAAGAAGTCAAATTTTGTCCCAAACAAGTTAAGAAAAACAAGAAACTGCTGGAGAAACTCAGCAGGTCTGACAGCATCTGTGGACAGAAAGTTAGTTAACATTTTAGGTCCAATGGCCTTTCAGTCCAGATGGTAGCTGGGAAACAGTGGTATTTATGTGGTAGCCTGTGGGCTGTGGGGCTAAAGGAGTTAGCAATAGGTACAGACAGAGCCCAGAAAGAGAGAGACAGAGAGAGAGTGCAAGAGCAAGAAACAGTCAGGCAGACAAAGGAATGGAGAATGGTGAGCTAGAGAGAAAGAAAAGCTGAAATTGGGAACTGTAGGCAGGGCTAAGAATGAACTGGCTGTGCTGAAAGCAGCCCATGTTATGACAGGGCCTGGGGTGTTGGGATGGAAGAAGGGTCTCAGGCTTTAAAAAAGTATTGAACTCTGTATTGTGCCCTGAAGGTTGCAGTATCCTCAAGCAGAATATGAGATGTAGTTCTTCCAACTTTCGCTGAACCTTGCTGGAGCACTGCAGCAAGCCTGAGACAGAAGTATTGGCCAGGAACAAGGTGGTGTGTTGAAGTGGAGGCAACAGGAAGCTCAGGATTACGTTTGCAAACACAGGATAGGTATACCGCAAAGCGGTCATCCAGTCTACATTCAGTTAAATGGTGTAAATGTTCCTCCCTAAACGTTCAAATTGTCAATGTAACATTTACTTTGATTAATTTAACAGAAACTATCGAAATGTTGCTAGTGCACTTTTCATTCAAAATGGCAAGACTACACAAAGTCCATCTGGTGTTATAAAAGTCAAGGTTTCTTTAGCTTTAATAGTAAGAACTGCCGATGCTGGAGTCAGAGATAACAGTGTGGAGCTGGATGAACACAGCAGGCCAGGCAGCAGAGGAGCAGGAAAGCTGACGTTTCAGGTTTGGACCCTTCTCGGGAGGGTCCAAGTGAGAACTAGCTGTTTGGATACAGAACTGGCTTGAAGGTAGAAGACAGAGGGTGGTGGTGGAGGGTTGCTTTTCAAACTGGAGGCCTGTGACGCGCGGTGTGCTACAAGGATCGGTGCTGGGTCCATTGTTTTTTGTCATTTATGTAAATGATTTGGATGTGCACATAGGAAGGATGGTTAGGAGGTTTGCAGATGACACCAAATGTGGACATGTAGTGGACAGCGAAGACAGTTACCTCAGTA